ACAACCCAGTTTAATTATGAAACTAACCTATAAAGAACATGGAAACCACGATACTTAAATGGCAAAGATCAGCTGATACCCATCATCTAAGGCTCTCTGCAAAAACACTTGGCACTAAACAACGCGGTTTAAAGCTGAATCTAATACGTGAAGAACATGAAATTTGTGATACTTAAAATGGCACAGATCCGTTAAAACCACCATTTATACTCTGCGTAAGAAACTTGCCACGACTAGACAAACAACCCTGTTTAGTTTCCAATCTACCCTATGAAGAACTTGAAATCCATAACACTTTGGATTGCAAAGATCAGCACATAATCAAGCATGCAAATGCAAACTTGTAAATTCTGAAACCCAATTGATTCAGGAAATCAAGAACATCTGCTATACAAAGAAGGAAAAGCGAATTAATCATCAAACTCAACTGATCTGAGGTCTCCGTGCGGTACGTACGCTCTCCCAAGGACAAGCAGGCGAACCACCGATCCTTGAACTGCATCTCCGCCTGCGGAGTCGACGGGCGCACTAGCATCATCGTCGTCCCTGGAAACAAACCAAATCACCACACAAAGGAAAGGGCTAGGATTAGCATACGCTGATGATCTCGATGCGGGCGATCCCTGCGAAATCGTCGGCGGCGAGGTTCTTGACGAGCGGGGGGTCGGAGCCGTGGTCGTGTCGGTTGCTCCGGAAGCGCCGCCGGAACCGGGAGAAGCGGGAGTGATGGTGGCGAGCGTGGCCATCGCCGGAGGAGTCGTCGGACGCGTCGGCTCGCGAGCTTCCGTGACCCATTTTGGCGATCGGGCGATCAACGGGCGGGCAAGTGAGCGGAGCAGGTGCGATGGAAGAGCGCTGCAAATAATAGATTTTGACTTCGAAAGGGTGGGAGGACTTCGTCAAAGAGTCCCGTTGTTGGTTGATAATAACAATAGCGCCACCCTCAACGGGTTCGTCCGCTACGCGAGCCAACAGGGATAGAGACTGTCAAAGAGGCGGGCCGACGTGGGGAACGATCAATGGATCGTCGGGTTCTCGGGACGTGCATTGCGTCTCCGAGTTCTCGAAACTTCTGATCCCGTGTCGCGGTATCCCACGGTCCCCGAGTTCTGGGGCCCGCGATCGAGCTCATCGTGACCACTGGTCGTACCTGACCCATCTTCGCACCGTAGCGGGCCCCAAGGCTATTGAACTCATCGTGACCACCGGTCAATCGAATCGAGGGTACATGCGTCCAGGTCCACGGCGGACCCATCTTCCTAACCATGGTTGGCCCCACTGCAATTCACGGGGTACATGCAGCGGGGCTCATCGTCGACCCACATTCTCACCGTGGTGGGTCCCAGGACCAATGAGCTGGGCCCCTGTTCCAATAATTGTGCATGTGGATGGCGTGATCTGATTGTAAGGTTGGGACCTTCGGACGGATGGGCGCGCACTAAGCCGCCGTCATGATTAGATGGGCCCCAACCCACAAAGTTATCTGCCATATGTAACCATCGCTTACTTTATGAACCAAAGCACTAAAAAAGCCATTTCTACTTTCTTGGATTTCCATCAGAGCTAATTTTTGGCTAACTGTGTGTACCTCACACAAATGCCAAGTGCTCATGCTTTCACAGAACCCCACTAGAGATGGCAATGGAAGAAAAGTTGTGCCACTTTCGTAAGACAACATATCCATGTCACGCCAAAGTGCAGAAAGGCTCATGTTTGCAGGTATATGCTTAAAGTCGTGACCTGTTTCCTCACACGTTTAGTGGTCCTTTTACTTTATCTCCCACTTCCTAAAAGTTGACTATGACACGATGATCGAAGAGTGGTCAAAGTCAAACATGAACTAAAATTAATTCCATTTATAGTGCGTGCAATATAGATAGCTTGGTTTAGTCCAACAAGTTAAGCCCAGAATAACCAAGCCCAAGTCTTAGATCATTGATCCATTAACTTGATGAATCATTTATGTAAAATACTTTTGTTAGGTTACTGATAGTAAATCAATCTACAATGTAACGATCTAATAGGTTGAATCGTTTGGACTGCAGCTATCTAAATGCAAACACATGCTATCCGGTGAATGAATGATAACTTTGTTTCGTTACTCTTAATTTTAATGGAGATTCTGATTACGATTATTGATCGATAAAAAAATATTTATTGATATAATTTTTTAGAAAATCACATTGATAAGACAGACTCCTGCTTTACAGGATCTTTTAGAAACTAATAGTGAATAAATGGATAGAGATACGTGGGTGCGCAAATATATGGATATGTGATATTATTAAGAGATTATAAATCTTCTCTCATATCTTTTTAGTTTCGTAAACCAACTAATGAGACATTACATATCTTCTTTCATTTTTCATTTGTCCCTGAATCTATCGTTCACAACAGTCCCTTAAAAAATACGAAAACAAAGAGATAAGTCTAATTCTCATATTTCAGATCCAATAACAATGTGTTTACGGATTAGATAAAAAATTTTCGAGCAAAAGATAAGCATCATAAATTTAGATAATTTATTATTTGATTTTAAAATTTAATATTAATATTGTTTACATAAATAATATTATATTATAATTTTTATACTCATGGTTGGTATCAAAATGATTATGAAATCAAATATTTTAGATTTATTTGTTAACATCTATGAAAAAGTCTTAATCGAATTTTATTTACGATATATAACGATTTATCTATATTACTAATTTAATTTTTTATTCAGTTCATTTTATCACAGTAATATAAGGTTTTCTATATTTGATCGATAAAAATCTCGATCGAGAGATCAGGCTTTCGAAGTGTTTGTATTTTCCTTCAAGAGGTCAAAAAGCTAAATATGTGTCCCATCATTTACAGTCGGCTGTTAGGCTCATCAAGCCGTGGGCAGCTGGTGTGCTTCTTTGACTGCAGAGAAAGGATGACATGATTTGATATCTGACATAGATGGCCATTGTTTCTTGCATTATCATCACAACAACAAGCACATATATATATATACGACTCAAATCAAAAGCAGAGTCGACCCTCAAAGAACTTTCAAGCACTTCAATCGATCATGTTCTGCAACATAGGCAAGAAATGATCTCACTGCATATAATCTTTGTCAGAGGTATACATATACCAGCTAGAGCACAAGAGTAGTAAATCTCATTGTCATTCCCACAACTGCTCTTCATTTCTTCATCAGTAGCAGAGTCGAACTTGAAACACCAGTGTCTTTGTTTGGCATGATGTCCTTTGCATGAGTAGACCTAAACTCTTGTTTTTCTTGTGATCACAAAAAACGACGTGGACATGCAATTTTTCGACCAACGCTATCACGATGTTTGTATTAATATTTGTGGCAGCAGATATGAAGATGAAAAGCAGAGCAAGGAACCACTATCTATAGGCCCTCGAAAGTTAGATCACATCAGATAGCATTTATTGGAAGATCAATCAATGTGAAAAACACTTTTTGAATGAGAGGAACAATTTCAGAGAATACAAATGATAGCCAGAGCACAAAAAAAGGTTGGCACTTAAAGGACCCATTCTCTGCATCTGTTCATGCACTTGATACCTTAACTTGGATTCATGTTGATTGGCTCTCCCAACACAATATTTCTGCTCAAATCATATTGGTTTCTTCTTATGTTCATCCCTCTCGAGATAATGGAGCTTAAAGCAGATAAGAAGTTGCATCCTTTCCACCAGATGTTAAACTTCAAGTTGGAGTGAACCACAAGCTTGATGTGGTGAAAGGAAAGATGCAACAAAGATGTCCAAATGCAGGATGAAACAGGTGTATACACTATTCTGAAGCATGAATCTGTTTTACTCTAATAACTCTTCCCTTTTTGTGTGATTGTGACTTTGATAATGATGATTCTTAGAGCAGGTTTATATTATCTGCATGTTTAGATTGTTGATCTCAAGTAAAAGCTTGGGATATACTCAGTCAACGAGGTTGAAGACACTTTCTTGGTATGGGTGCATCACAACATCTATGAATGGGATTAGGTACCACAACCTTGTTTGAGTAATCCCTGTCGTTGCCATCAATGTGGAAGCGACTTGTTGTTGCCGACGATATTAGCTTTTCTCACGTCGCTTCCTACGTGATGACCAGTGGATATATCTACTTTGACTAAGCACCTCCTTGATAACTTTCGTTATGTTATGGCTGTCATAGAAGAACTTAAACGATGATGGATTAAACGAGGGATTGCGTGGCTGGTCAAACAATGCATGCTGAGCTTAAATGATTGACGTGGACTAAACCACTTTGGCAAATTGAATTGAAGCACCAGAAACGTATGGCCATGGCGTTGCCATGTTGACCATGCAAACCTAACTTTAATCTCGTCGACCACGGATAACGTTGAATCTGAGATATGCTTCTCGTACTTTTGCCACGTGCACCATTTTCTAGTGTCCTTTCGAGAAGGCAGGAATGAACTCCTCGACAAAGTTTCATGAAGAATCTAACTGTTCCTTTTTGAGACTTTTCTAAGCGCATGCGTGTTTGTTTCAGTCAGATTCCATCATAAATTCCCACCTGGTATGAATTTTCTGGGCTTGTGCTAACTTTTAGGGTTGATTTTTTCCTGGTTGCTACTTATCATGCTTCAAGTAATCGCGATTGATACGTCGGAGTTGGAATTACTTGATGGATTCTGTTTGCTGTTTGACTGATGCTGAGAGGAACGACATCGGCTTAGTTTGTGCCAAGTGAGATCATGAAGCTTTTTTGACCTCCGGAGAAAGACTGCTTTGTCGTGCGTGGCGGAAGCAGATTAGGGTTCTTGGTGAGTTGATGAAGAGACCGGTTGTCATCTTTGAGACTATTATTATCCTCCAACGAACTAGTCATTTAAATTATTGTCTACTATCCGATCTTGTCGTTTCTTGGACTTGATTATTACCATATGGTGGCAACTATTCCTACCAAACAACGAGAGATATCATTTCATTATTGTGCTTTAGCACGTGAAGTTCTATGAATCGTGATGCGGGAAAGAGTCTTGTCGAGGAAGTTACAGAAAAGGATGTGTATGTTAGGTTTGATGCAAGTTTACAGGAAGAAAGTGATGAACACGCAACTGTAAGGTTGATGGCTGCAGTGATATAATACTACCTCTCCTTGTCGTGCGCAGCTAACAAAAAGGACTCGGCATCCGAACCCTAAGCCAACTCGACTCGCTTATCCTCTCTTCCTCCCTTTTACATTCCCTGTTCTCGTCTCCCAGCGCCTGTCTTCGTCGGACTTTTGCGTGGATAGGAGTTATGGAATCGACATCTTCGGCGTCAGCAGGATCCGGTGGCACAAAGGCGTGCCGGCGTGGGCACTGGAGGCCCGGTGAAGACGAGAAGCTGCGGCAGCTCGTGGAAGAGTTTGGACCTCGCAACTGGAACTCGATTGCTGAGAAGCTGAAGGGGAGATCAGGTGCGGTTTCCGGTTATTCTGTCTCCATGATGCACTGCTGTTCATACCGAATGATCACTCTATGTATGCTTTGTCTGTTCCTCCTGTCTTGCTTCCTAAGAAATGGATGCTGTTGCTTTCATCTTCTGCAGGTAAGAGCTGCAGATTGAGGTGGTTTAACCAGCTTGACCCGAGGATCAACAAAAGGCCATTCACAGAACAAGAGGAAGAGAGGCTGGTTGCGGCTCAACAAGTTCATGGAAACCAGTGGGCGCTGATCGCACGGCTCTTTCCCGGGAGGACAGACAACGCGGTGAAGAACCATTGGCATGTCATCGTGGCTCGCCGTCACAGAGAAAGATCAAAGCTCGTGAGGAAGAGACCCCTGCAACGGTTCCAAATCCTATCCGACGTCGAGCTTTCAAGCATCCATTTGTTGCCGCAAACATACCCTAATCCTAAACGTAGTTCTAGTGTTTATAGGAGGAGTTCACAGCTCCATGACCAGCCACCTCGCCGTTATCGTCGTCTACCTCGCTGGAGTCTCGTGGCATGCGAGGAGGATGCCAAGTACAAGAAGGCAGCTCCTCTGGATTCCGGTAAATGCTCCTCCGAGAGTGATTGCTGTCACGCAGTAAACGCATGCGAAATGGTCGGACATGGGGACGATTCTGACATGTCCATCGATCATAGAGCCATGAATGAGAAGACTGATAGAAGGAAGAACGTTCCTTTCATAGACTTTCTGGGCGTTGGGATGACTTCTTGAATCCAAGAACCTTTTTGTTCTTGAAAGTTTGTGGCGAATGCTTGCTGTAATGATTTCTTTTGAGTTTTAGGAGAAACAACATATATAACATTTCCAGGAAATCTTTGTTCCGAATGCATAATGCTAATATCTAACGATTTATAATGCTTACAATTTGAGAAGATCGAAATGGTTTGGTCTTGTTGGTGAACCCTTACGCCGTGGTCAAGGAGTCAGCACGGCTCAGTCCGATTGCCAATGTTTAGGATCATCCTGGTGATCGAGCTTTCGTCGGGTCGAGTTGAGCTCGAGGTCCGATTCGAATGCGCCTCTTCAATGGGGACGGACACTCTGCTTTATCGCCGCCAGGTCCTGCACACTGGCCTAGGTCGGGAGGGGTTTCCCTCTTTGCTAGATGCTAGCTTAGGGCTTTTATTTTAGCGCCCGAGGGTCGGTCATATGCGATATGCTTACAGCGACCGACTCCTCGAGCGACCCATTTGTACCTTCGGACGACCGTCGATTGGTTTGTGCGGAGCAGCATCACACGACACCATCTCAAGCTTTCTGGAGCGGCCCTTGATGACATGATGCTAGCTCGTGTAGCTCCAGACGACATAGAAGGGGACAGTTGTCGTCCCTAGTCCGAGGTGGCACTCCATCTCAGTCTCGAGGCTCCATGTCTTCGTTGGTGTGGTTGCTAGCCACGTCTTCGGGGCGAGATCCGTAATATGCCATTTCAAGTCTAATTCGAGGGAGCAATAATGAGACATTAATAATAGGATTAAATGGAGTCCAATAATTTTTCACAAAAGCCCCTCCCTGGCGTGAAAATACCAAAGCATCCCCCGACGCAAGTCGTCGAAGTAGACGGGGATGGACGTGTAAAAGGACGAGCGTGGCTCGTGTATCTCATCCCAGCGACGGAGGTCGAGAAGACCACCTCCTATTGGTTATCGATCAAAGGGCCCCACATGCGAGTCTCGGTAGCTCGAGTTCTTGCGTGAAGCATCGCTCGGCCCAGACACAGGAGCCGCATCAAACAACGCCCATCACCCTGTGATTCGTGCTACAAGTGAACTCAGCGTACGGAGTCCGATGATGAGGGAGGCATACGTATCATTTAATTACTTGGACGATGATAAATAGATGAGATTTATTAGCTAACATGCATCTCTTCATGCGAGCCACATGCCGAGTTCAGTAGTTCAGATTAATCTCACCATAAAAAAAGAGGATTTTGAGTAGTAGATAATCCACATTTAATGCAAAACCTTTCGATTAATCATTGGATTTTTTTAAATATATGATCTATTTAAATCACTATTAATTATATTTCAAAATGAATATAGATTATAAAAAATAGATATTAGAGTTAGGTTTACCTTAACCCATTTAAGTAGGACAAAATCTACAACCACAATAGGAAAATGCGAGTCTTATTTTCTACGACAATAGATTACCAAGTAAAAAAGGATTGTTTCCAACTTTATGGGTAAGTTAGGTCGAAATCCAAATGTTGAGTCAACTTCCCAACCCTTGTCTTCTTTTATGTGCACATTCGATCTAATGATGAGCATGGCCATAAGATTCTCTCCAAGGAAGAGCATGGCCCGCTAATTATCACTCTCATGCCTCACTTAATCCACATCATAACCATCATTAGCCAAGCTGAAAAGGTAGATGATGATGCATTTCCAATGCATCCCAAATAAAGCCCCACTTCCTTCATTGTCAACCAATGGCTCTCATGATCGTCGTCGACAAGATAGCAAAAGTGCATGGTTTTGCGTAACACGCCACACAGCACATGCTTGGGGATTTTTGAGTAAGCTCATGCATCAAGGAGCACCACTCGATGGGTTTGGAAGGGAAGTTGAGGAGGAGCTATCTATGAAATAAGAACAAATGTCTGGTGAAGTGGGGATGAGTAGAGCTAAATTGTCACAGGATCATTAAGCAAAGATGGCATGGGCAGTGCATGGGAATGATGTGAGGTGTTGTGGATGGAACTCCACCTCTGAGGGGTTTGGCACACATCTCCATCATTCAGATGGATTATAAGACTTCACCAAGAATTGCATACGCTTTGCCAGCAGTTATTGGATGGCACGTAAGTTGGTGTTAGGATTGCATCGATATCCCTCCCATCGATGAAGACATCCGGCTTGTAAGAGCTCGGTGGGTCCGAGCGCCCATTTTCGAGAGGTTCGAGCTCAAGGAAGCTCCGCTCGGTGCTTTCGGCAACCTATAGCTAGGCTTATTCCACTGACGGCAGAGGTGACCTTATGCTAGGGTTGGGTGGTGACATCGGGCTAAAGGAGATAGGGAATTCGACATGGAACCGATCAAATTGATTTGCTCGTTTTGTTGTTATCATCAACTTAATCGCATGTGTTGTTATCAACTTAGACTTTGTTTAATTTAAAGAAAGAGAGATATTTATTATTATTATTATCATATAGTGAAGAATTTAAGGATATTGAATCATGTAAATTTTATATTTATTATTGTAAGCATATATTTTATTATTGATTCTCTTTGCTGTTAAGTGTTCTTCCCCACGCTCCACCCATCTTCTTATGGCAAAAAGAAGCAAAAGTTCTTTGCTTTGTGGCAGAACAAAGCCACTATGATCATTAAATACACAGAAAAAGGACATCACAGGGCAAAAAGAAATCAATATGCATGGCTGCTCCACAGCCACTATATATATATATATATATATATATACCAAAAGTGTACTTGGACCTAAGTATATTGCAATAAGGACAGCATACAGCTCGCTTGACTTAGCCTAGTTTACTTATTGAGGATGAACATGAGAAGAGCACCGAGGGATCTTAATTACACTGTTAGAGAATTACTCTTCGACTGGACCTGCAGATGAGGCCTCAGTTTGGCAAGCTTATGTCATCAAGATCATCCAAGGACAAGAACACCTCATCCAGGCAGGAAAGCTCTGACCCGTCGTCGTGGAAGCTCGACTGTGAACCCCCGGCCGACTCATGAACTCGGCAAACGACCCATTTGTTCGATTCCTGCGTGGTGATCGTGTCACCGGATCGGAATCAGTGGGGCTCAGCGAAGGGATTAGAGAGTTTTCTTGTGTTGGTTGAGCTGAAACATGTACTTACTGTTCTTGTCGGTTGACCTCCTCTCTTCCTTCTGCTACTGTTGCTGCTGCTGGTGCTGCCACCATTGCTGCTGCTGCTACTACCAAGACCAGCGTCGGGTAGATGGTACTCGTGCATCAACCAATTGGTCTTGATGCCCTCAGGTGCTTCGCCAAGATAGTACCTGAGAGTCTTCTTTATACCAACAGGCGTGTGATTGCTAGTCACGGTCTCGTCGGTGCTGACAGCATGCCAGTATCCGTTAGCTGTTGCCCTGTTCTGGCTTCTGCGGGTGAAGAAGTACCAATGGCGGTTTCCTCCTTGAAGAGCTTTACCTTCAGGCACAGTCCACAAGAGAGAAAGAGCGAGAGATGCGTCTTATATTAACTGCATGCAGCAACAAGAAAACTACTAGACTCGCAGGGGAGTTTGCTGACCATCGAGGTCCCACGGGTCGCAGTGGTGGAGATCGATCGTGGGGATGATGTCGGGATAGCAAGGAAGGTGCGCGGCCTTGGGACGGAGGAAATGGACGACCAGCTCTTCGTCGGAGGGGAAGAACTGGAAACCAGGTGGTAGGTTGCTCCCTTCTCCCATGCTTTCGCAGGACAACAGCACCAGAGAGAGAATGGAGATAAGCAGTAAAAGGTCCACATTTATAGCCCGTGACGCAGGCAAGTCAAGAAGGGCACGAGCGCAGTGCGGAAGTGCAGCTACATGGGAATATTAGAGTTATTATTATACATAGATTTTATGTCACTATAAAGCTACAGCAATACAGTGTTCTATCAACGACACAGAGATGAGTGATAGCAACATCTTGTCGAGACGACTTGTCCTATGAACGGAAGAGTATAGGCCAAAGCTTAATCGAGAAATCCAATGAATGGTTGCTGTAAAGTCGTTTCATATAAACAAACAGCAAAACAAGGCTAATCTAATGCTCTCTTACCTATTTTGAAGGATCTCTTTTTCCTCATGTTCTTTGGACGGCTCAGTACAGAGAAGTGGTAATGGTTGGGACGGTCACATTCGTACCGGAGAGTAGAAGGCAATACGAAAAGGACAGTGTCCAACTTGCTGATCCATTCATCTCCTCAAGGTGGCCTTCTGATCCATCCATCTCCCCATCATGCCACTTGCCGCTTTCCAAGTTTCGTAGTGTTAACAGTGAAATCATCGTAGCATCAGTCTCTCGTGTGTGCTTCGACACAGACCATGTGGTTATAATGAAGATGACTGCTGGATGCAACGAGGCCGTCGCGAAGAACCTTCTGATAAGTGTCTATCTATACCTTCCACTTCCTTGAGATTAATGAAATCCAGCTTGGTATGCTCCTTTCATACATGAGCTCACCTGGGAAAAGGATGTGTGCTGTCGAAGTTTGTGTGCTGGAATCTTTTGTGGCTTGGGTTACATGCATCCACCGTGTTCCTAACACATTTTCTGATACCTTAATGGTGAGTTTTGGCCAACTTGTCCTTAAAGAGAGAACATATGCCCCATGTCATGCCACCCAATTCTGTACGTCACCCCTCTCCACCACGGCACTTCTCTTCTTCACTGTAACCAGAATGATAGCCTCCAACTCCATGACATGGTGGCAAAGTACGAGAACATCACTTGAAGAAGAAGCCATGGATAAAATATGCACCTATAGAGAAACTATGTGCCCCCGTCTATGGCCGCGGGCTGCCGCTCCCGCTTGCTTTGTGCCTCGCCTCTTAAACCCAGCAATGATTGCCGAAGGATGCAGCTCGGTGCTCCACCTCACCGGGAGATATACTGCTTCATTAGAACTAGACAAGAAGGAACGAAGCCCTCATGGAGAGGAAAAAGCACCACCTCTTTTAGTGGATGGCGAGCCAGACATAAGAGCTCTCCTTTCTCCGGTGACGCAGACGTGATGCAACCTCGCCTGCACGCAGAGCACCTGTGGTGGGAATGGTGGCACCGAGTCTTGGCCTAGTGTGATAGCTTCATTGTGGGTTCTCAGAGAGAAGAGGGAGGAGCTGCCACCGCTTGCAATATCCATGTTTGTGAGATGTTCCACTTTCTGCGTTCAGGCTTTTCTGGATACCTTCACCTTGTTCGGTCAAGCACTGGGTGGAGCTGCCATTCCCAGTAGGATCAGATGGTGGTGGCTTCGGCACAGGCTGCACTCCTGGAACTGAACCTTAGTTGAGCTCCTTGTGATCGCAGCAGCTCCAATTCACCATATGGTTATCGAAGGAAAGTGTGCCTTCCACTCGGGAAGCAGCTGTATTCCACATCCTTATCATTCGAGGCACAAACAAAGAACATTCCTGCTTCTTCATTTACATCGGAGACGATGAAATGAAGGATTGCCATGTCAAGTATGCACTCACTTCTGCTGTTTACTGATTACCAGATCTCGAAGTATCTCCCAGTTCGTCCAAATCTTGGATGACCAGATCAGTAACATGCTGAAACTAAGTGTCAGCAATTTGTAAGCCCATCAAGTGTAGTTCATATATGAATTGGCATTTACAGTTGATGGAAGATCAACTGCTGCATGATGTTCATGGACAGCCTATGGCTTCTACTTCTGACCTAAACAGTGATACACCTAATTTTTGCTTGTAGTAATTGTCTATGGTGGATCTGATTCCCATAGACAATTAATTTTGGCACTCAAATGAAACATGGAGCTCAGTCTCTTCCTGATTGTAGAGTTGAAATGGCAGCTTGGATAAGACAGTTACAGCCAAGAAAAAGATCTTAGAGAAGGGGGAAATCAAAGATAAACTAATATATAATTACAACAAAGAAAGGAGAAGAAACATGAGAGATCTATGAAGAGGAGAAACAAAAGACAAACTACAAGACAATGACAGCCAAGAAAGAGAAAACGTGTTAGAAAAGATTGAGACCATGCTCATCTTCTTTGGACTTATTTGCACACCTTTGTGTGCATTCATCTCTAAGGCATTGACTTACCTTCGTTTCTTTGCTGGATGTGGAAAATGTAAGGTGTCTTATTGTTAGTTGCAGATCGAAACATTTGGTCATATTAACTTCAAACTTAGATTATCGATAATATTTTCATCAAATTAATTCAAGTCTTTTCTTACTTTAAACTCCGATAAATCGATCACACTTTACAACTCACAAAATCGAGTCAGATCGAGCCGAACTCAATGCATCATCAAGGAAACATTTGATTCCTTGGTTAGATCCTATGGCAATAATGGATCCAAAGATACGGATCCACACAAAATCCTGGCTCCAATCTTAGTTGAATATCCAATATATAGATCCAAGAAGCATCCTTAGTTCGATTTAAAGTAGATTACCAATGAGTCATGTAACTAAAAGTAGATTGCCCGATGGTTAATAATAGCCATGGAAGGGAAGACTTAGCACCGAATCCCCAAAAATCTCATTGTCATGCAACCAAAATTAGATTGGGTAATATTGGTCCATTACACAGTCAAAACTGGTGGGTTGATGAATTTGGATTTACCATATACATATGTATACCTACAAAACCAAAACTTATAGACATTATAGTATTAATTATTGGTAATTAATTGTAATGTGGAATGTAGAATATTATTTTAGTAATATTTAATATGAGATGGTTTCTAAAATAACAAGCAAAAGAAAGGGAGAAATAAAGGCACGTTTGCCATTTTCTGTGTCACATCTTTGAACGGCTTCCAACTCCCACGACGACTTCTTCTTCTTTCCACTTCTCTTTATTTTTATCAAAGTCGGCTCTTTGATGAGCTAATCCGCCTCGCTTTCTTCCATAATCCTTCCCCCAAGATAAGAATCTGAATAAGAGCTTCTTCGGCGCCCTCTTCGTCTCCTCTGGCGTAAAGGTAAACCCTTTGGCCTTGGCAGCCTCTGATTTCTGCCCGTTCCTGTCACGTACGGATCCGATGTCCCCTGGAATTCTGTGAATCTTTGGGTGCTTCGGTCTTATGTGGGTTTTGATCCGGTCTGGTGCTTTCTTTGAAGGAGAAAAGTATAATTTTGGAAAAAAAAAGAAGAGATGATTTTGAGGGTTCGATTTAGATTTGATGGATGTGTTCGATTTATAGGACGTTTCGATGGCTGCCGCAGCGGCGTGTGCGGAACGGGCGACGAGCGATATGTTGATCGGCCCGGATTGGGCGATCAACATCGAGTTATGCGACATTATCAGTATGGATCCCGGGTAAAGTTCTTGACTTCTTGGTTAGTTTGGTAGATCTAGTTTGTAGGGTGTTGACATTTGTTTAATTTGGCATAGAGATTCGAGTACTGTAGGGAGTACCGTCAAATGATGAGCAACTTGGTAAAGATGGTTCCTTTTTTTCTCCTACCTGGTAACCATAGAAATAGGTTTTTGGGGTTCCACCCCAATTGCATCTAATTGTTCGGACTTTTCTCTAGGCACTTCTGTAAAATTACCAAAGATGTGAAACTGAACGTATTAGTTTATGGACCTATACTTCTCTTACATGAACTGTATGTTTGTTGTGGGCATTATCTGGCTATAATCTTTATCGGTTGTTGGATCCAAGTTTTTCTATGCCCAAATACACATGGGCCTTATTTGATATATACCCTTGAATTATTCTATCTGCTAAATTCAGCATTGTCCTTATCCGGGGCACCTTGAATTCCAAGAAGAAAGTGTGGCTCCTTTTAAATGATAAGCTAGAAATCATGAAACAGACATATGAACTTGCTGGACGTGATACTAAACACTAAACAAAATGTTGAGAACAGTTTCTTTGATGGTACTTTATTTTTTCCACCAATATATAATCCCACCATCAACCACTTCATGTGGGTATTGCCTCTTGAAGTATGCAGATTTGTCACCAGATTTACTGTTTCATTGATGTCAAGAGTGATGCAACTGACTATTCCTGGGGATATGGATGATCATTTAGGGAGGAAATCCTTATCCACTTAACCAATTCGCTAAGGAATTTTCTGATTTCGATGTGCTTTATTTTCTTGTGTCCTAACTTCTAAAAAATGTTAGTTGCTTCATAGTAGTAAAATATTTTTATTGTCCTTTACTGAAACTTCATCTAATAATATTTCTTCTCACGAGCAGACAGGCAAAGGATGCACTGAAAGTACTTAAAAAGCGTCTGGGAAGCAAGAACCCAAAAGTTCAACTTCTGGCACTTTTTGTAAGCACATGCTCTTCTCCTTCACTTAGAACTTGGTATACCTTCAAAAGGTTAGATTTCAGTTGTTCATATCAATCTTTAAGTTATTCATGAGTTACTAACAAGGTTCACAATTTCGAGTATCGGTTAGGGCTCTGGTTGATACTATAACGGTCTGGTATGTTACTGGTATATACCAAGTGTTGGTACATCAGTATGTACTGAGTTTAAAAGAAAAATCTGAAAAAGAAAATTGTCTTTATTTTTCTCATCTTCTTTAGAAGTATTATGTCAATATTTCTTGTCTTTGCTGTTGTCACAGTAGAGAACTCCAAATGCTGTTCTAAGTTTTATGTATATACAATAGGGCCCTGTCAATTTCAACCGACACCAATTGGTTTAAATGAACGACTCAAGACAAGGGCCTTGAACCACAGTAAGGTTATTCAACTGGAATGACCAAGATTTGAGTATGAAAACATCTTCTCTGCTGTAGACTGTGAACATTGGTCCTCCCCGAACTCCACATTGGCGAGCGCCTCTGACATTTGACTGCCCTAGTTCAACTTGACCATGTTATGCAATTTTTACTCTAGGATCACATGGAAGATTTGTTATATCCACAAGGCTTACTCTGGCTGTGCATGCTTTTCTCTAGCATCTCTAGCAAGTGGATGTAATACCGATGTGTTGTGTGCAAGGGTTTTATCCATGTAAGAATAGATGTCAGAACAGATTCTGCAGCTTATATAAATTAAATTTTTGCATTTATACTTTGGTATGCTCACTGACACAATGAAGCAGGGCCCTTGGGGTAAACTAAACTCTCTAACGGATTATTCTTCTTTATTGGTTTAGTTGGCTTCTCATAGAAGTATTCATATTTATATTTTAGATGGTATTCTGTCTTGAATAATAATATTACGGTCTGGAAAATGCTGTTGCTAACTAGGTGCTAGAAACTCTAAGCAAAAATTGTGGAGACAATGTTCACCAACAAATTGTTGAGCGGGATATCTTACATGAAATGGTTAAAATAGTGAAGAAAAAAGTAAGTATCACTTCTCATAGCACATCTTGTAAGTTGCATTTGACATCTTCTTATTTGTTTTCTAATATTCTTTTTGTTTCCTAAATCTTATTTGCAGCCAGATTTGAATGTAAGAGAAAAGATATTAGTTCTGATAGATGCATGGCAAGATGCTTTTGGTGGATCAGGAGGGAGATATCCTCAATACCATGCTGCATACCAAGAACTTAGGGTACTTTCTTTTTCACCTTGATAGATGTGGCCATTCCCTACAAGGTTGCGTGATTTGTTTGCTGTCCTGCTTAAGTTTCTCTTTATTTCGCCAAAGATCTCGAGGGAATTCATTTAAGTGCTAGTCTAAACACATACATGACACTTGGTATTTTTTGGGGCTCTGATAATTTTACAATGAACTTCTCGTTGCTCTTTTTCATCTTGATATACTGTTATACTCATGTGATATTTTGTTGATGTGTTATCTATTGACCTACAATAGTACAATTTTGCATGGTTGTTGGAGCTACCAGAATTAATGTTTCTCCTGTACCTGTGAAATAGGTTGATAGATGCACATGCTTTGCATGTTTTAGATCTTCTGTTTTATTTTAGAGTTTGGCTTTCTTAAAGGCAGATATTTTCTGAATTTCTCCTTTGTATTGGTAACTAAATTTTTTGTTACATAAGTAATTTTGACTGTTTCCTTTTGCTTAGGAATTGTAGACATTATTTGTTCTTGATATTTTGACATCTGCTTGCTAGCAAATATTTGTGTAACCTATGATTTGCTTATTTTGTGCTTGTTGCTTGCATTTCATGGTGCGATTAAATCTTGTGTCCATGTTAGTTATATAGTTATTCATCAAAGAATAATTTTGGAAGATTTGTTCATTTTTTTTGGACAGGCTGCTGGAGTTGAGTTCCCACCCCGTACTGAAAATACTTCACCACTGTTTACCCCCCCACAAACACACCCTATGGTGCATCAACCTGCTACATCAGCAGATGAAAATGCTGCTTTAGAAGCTTCACTTCAGTCTGATGTTGCTGCTCTCAGGTTCTTGCTTTATTCTTTTTTTTAATATGCACATAGTGATGTTTGATCTGTTTATGCACCTATATGTGTTTAGTGGCCAGCTAATGATCACTGTTTTACCTTTTTTAACATATTAGTTCCCTTTGTCTATCCAATTTTTTGTCATTTAACTTTTTTGCTGTTTAGACTTTAGACATGATAAGGATATTGCAAAACATTATTGGCTTCATAACTCATGATTTCAAGTTTTCAACTACGAAGTGCCAAACATTTATTTCCTATTTAATAATGATAGATCAAACGTACAATCTTGCATACAACTCTGGTGATTACAAATGCATACATCATGCGAGCGACTAGTTGTAAAGTTGGCTGTTGTTTTAAAGTGGAAAGTGGAATGTAAATAATCATTTATTTTTAAGAGGACTGCATCAAGATAAAACTTAAGATGATATGAAGTATATCATGACAAGTAAATACTTGTACTATTGGAGTCATTGGCTTTTGAGGAATAGTGTGACCATATAAATTTTGAGTGTGTAGATATTTTGCTGGTTTATGTTGCTTTTCTAGAAGAAGCATAAGGTGTGTTGAAGAGGCATTTGGATAGAATGTCCCCTCATTTACTTTTTATTTGGTGATGTACCCATTTGAAGAGGTTAAGTTTGTTTGGTTTAGATATGGATTAGTATGCCAACTTTTTTAATCCTTTCTGTTGTATTCACCAAGGTCCTAAACAGAATTCTGAGGGATTTGATGTGTGATTATGAGTTATGGCCTTTGAATAGAGATTTCTTTGGGTATCATAATAACAAGAAACTAAATCGGAAGTTTCTGGTGGAAGCATAATGCTTTGGTGTGGTTAAGGGAACTGATTCAGTCAAGTTTTATCACTCAGATGAATCTTACAGGAGGGGAACCATGTAACCATCCCTAAATAGTTGGGAACTTTGGCTGTGTTGTTATTGTTTGTGTAGGAATTAGTCTGAGGTAACCTGGCTTTTTTGGTGGAAAATGAAGTTTATTAATGTTGAATGCAAATAAAGGCAAAGATATGCATGTGCGTACTAATTACAGAATGAATCATTCCTGCCAAAGATAGCTGAGTCTGCAATGTACTTATATGTTACTTAAAATTTGTACATGAATTATAAATCATTAATAATTCTTACTCGTATTTTGATGGACAGTTTCATTTTTAAGTAATAAATTTAATAGCTTTCCACATATTTATGAAAGTCATATTTCAGATTCTAATAGCAATCAATTGTCTTAATTCAGCTTGCAAGATATTCAGAACGCTCAAGGAATAGCAGATGTGTTATTTGAGATGCTCAATGCACTGGATCCCAAGAACCGAGAGGTAGAAACTTCTATTTTATTGCTTTTAGAAAATATGACTTTAGGGGAAAATTTTCTTTTATTGCTTTTAGATAATGACCATAGGGTTCAGTGGAAATATATTATGTACAATCAACTAAACCATTTCATGTTTGTTCAGATCATGAGATGATATAGATCGCTCCTATTTATGCACTTGGCAGATTTTGAAACTTGGAACTTTGGTTCCACTTGGTCACTTGGAATGGCATTGACCCTCTTTTCACGCATATCTTTGGGTGCTGTTGGATCGAACATTCATAATTGTGAGTTTGTGACTGCAACACTGAGACAAGCAAGTGGTAGAAGCTTTAAAGTTGCTTACCAAGTTGAACAAATTATAAGGAATTATGGAGTTGGTAAAGTTGCATTGGTCTGTCTTTATAAAAGAGAATCTAATTTGCATCTAAGGCCTAGAAAAGAGATCCCTTCAATCTATGGTTGGAGTCTTAGCAAGGACACCTTTAATTCTTCAAATGACTGAGTCCAGACTGCAGTTTGCATATTAAGGAGCTTAAAATGTATGGGAATAGCAATTCAAACAGGAGTGAGGAAAGGGTGCCTTGCATCCACATTCTGTGCTGTAGGTCACTTCAATTTCTGTTACATTTTTATGATATAAAGATGGAATTGCTGTTAGAAACTAACTGACAAACATGCTTATAATGATATTGGAGTAATTGTTAAGTTTCGTAATAATGTTCCAAATGGGATCTGTTATCTAGAACATCATGTAGCTTTTTTTTTTTTTAATGATCTTAGTGGAGGTTCATTTCCTGTGTTCATCTCTATTACTTTAGCAATACAGAATGTTATTGATCAGTTATAGTATATGATCACCAAAATGTCTTCTATAGCTACCTTATAATTAGAACGTTTATATACAATATACCTCTGTACATAAGTTGACTACAACTTGTACATTGCAGCAAATTTGACATAGTAAAGTATCCATGTCACGTCACTTCATATGCTTACATTTCTTGTAACTCAAGTTACATTTCTTATCAGAAACTGTTGCATGCCAAACATGTGCCCTGATGTGTGTAAGATGTAATTGGCAGGATTAAATGACTTGTAGTTTAAAATTATCTTGTCGAAATGCATCCTGCTTTCTTCATGACAGCTTAATCTTTTGCCTGTAAAGTATCCACCGGAAGTCAGAGCATTGCAGGTCAATACATCATTGATTCTAACATCCTTTTTAATGTCGTAGCTACTTGTGCCTCATATGACAGGACTTAAAACAAGAAGTTGTACTTGACCTTGTTGAGCAGTGCCATTCTTATAAAAAGCGTGTCATGCTTCTAGTAAATAATACTGGGTATGGTCCAAATTTTTGGTAAGCTGTAAAGTATCATTGAGTTGAAATTTATATACTGATTATTTTTTTCTTCACTTTGTTGTATGCTACAGAGACGAAGAGCTTCTTTGCCAGGGTCTGGCTCTGAATGATGAACTTCAGCGTGTACTTCAACGACATGATGATATCTTGAAGGGAACTGCACCAAGTCATGAAGCTCCACTTGCTTCAGCTGTACCTCTTGTTAATGTAAATCATGAGGATGACGAGTTTGAGGATGAGTTCTCCCAGTTGTCTCTCAGGTACCATACATGAGGGTTCTCTATTCTGTTTTTATGTCTATTGTTTTATTTAGTTTTCTATAATCTATAAAAAGTGAATAATGGTGTATGTGGTGTCACACCTATACTGCTAAAGGTGTTTTTTTTTTGGTTGCTGTTAGCATACAAAATTTTGTTTGTCGCTTCAGCTTCTAGGAATTAGTATTGAAGATTTTCTTTGTTGTAATTTCCCACTCATATGATCCTTATATGACTGGTTTACCTCAAAACTAACCTGCTTATGAGGAAAAAATAGGTGTTAGTTTAAATACTCTTTGTCTCATCTTACAAGGGGGGTCCCCTAATCATTTATTTTAAAGAAAATTTATTTAATCAAATCGAGGATACAGGAGCCTCCCAAGGTACAAAGTTTTCCTCATGTTGTTGAGGATTACAAGAATTTCTTGCTATGTTAGCAAAAGAGTGTGCAACAATATTAAGATACTTATTGATGTGTAGCCAACCCAACACATTAGTTTCCTGGGCTAGCAATGACATATCTTTGCAAAGACTTGTTAAAAACCAAGGAGTCGGGTGAGGATGATCGAGAATAAATACCAGTTCAAGTGAGTCTCTCTTGACGAAGAAAAATTGAAGCTTCTTATGTTTGGCTTGTGTGAGTCTATCCCAAATTGCCCAACATTCAGCCTGTAGAGGATTGGTTGCAGTTGCACGATGTCTTCTGCTTCCAGCAAAGAGAATTAAGCCTTGGGAGTCCTTGAACTAGAAAACCTACAAACAAAGAGGAATTAGAAAATGAACCATCACAAAAGAAGATTCTGTCAAATCCCTTAAACAAATGGGATCGGATAGGGTAATTAGCCGAGGGTGGGATAGTGAAGAAGAGGGTGAGTCTTTTATAACCATGGGAGGACTATCATTAAAGAGGGGTAAAACTTTCCTCCACAAGGAGGATGGTTGGATGAAGTGATTGTTGAATTTGGAGTCATTTCTATTCTTCTACAAGGTAGTACCAATTAGAGATGATAAATGTATGGAGAAATGTTTGTTAATTTGACTGCCTTCCATTGATCTTCATGTTTTGATATTGATGCTCTTGAAGAAGATAAGATGAAATACTCTGACCCAAAGATTGTGATGTTGAATGGTAAAGAATAACACATGCCCACATATGTATGATCCGTCCAATTCTTGGCCTATGCTGGTGACACACAGATGTGCCGACTGGCATGGCTTTGGATACTGGTCATGCTGGAAAGCTATTGACATATCTCCATAATGCAAAAATGCAAAAGCTCATATTTGCTTATGCCTATAATGGTGCCTGTTTACTTCTCACATGTCAAACCTCAACTGTTGTTTTAGCACAGTGATGGAAACTTTGTTGTTTCCTTGAGCAGATTGGATTAATTTTCTAGCTTGAGCATCTTGGTGTAATTTGAAGTTCTGTAAAGAGGTTAAGATTTTAAAGCAAAGCCAAATTAGCCGATGGACAAACCAATATAGATTTGTAATATCTTATCCTTGTCAACCAATTGATACCTTAGGAGTTATCAAATTAAACATATTAGAGGCAATCTGATCACAAATTACAAGCTCAAAGTCTAATAAGATTAAGAAATAGTGACTAAATTTTATTTCTGATGACACATTTACTGACTGATCTCTAATTTTGGATGGTTTTAAAGTGGTGCCTAAAGAAACTCAATATCTCCATTTGTGAATCATCAAAACTGTGATAATACAAGATCTTGTAAGAGCTTTCATAGTTTTGTCTCTTGGGCTCTCATGATGCAGATATAAATAGTTAGTGTGCAATGTGTTGAGTTGGGGTGTTAGTTGGGTGTTGAATTTGTGTGAGAAACTGTGCCGACCCCAATCTCAAGTCTTCCGGAGGTCAAGCTTTATGGACTTGGATGTGAATTATTTAATCAAGCAATTCATGCGGATTTGAATGCTTCTATTAGTTGTTCCTTCACCTACAAACAAATTCCAAACTATGTTTTCTGTGCAAGGAGAGAACTATCCTCTTCAGCCTTATTAAATAAAAAAAAAGAGTGAAAGCAAAGATGGGTATCAGTCTTTTCTTCATTGAACTTTTCCTGATGCATTTTCTTGATATTAGACAAATTAGTGCTATATGTAAAAAAAAAAGTTGACTGCTGGAGTTTGTCCTTGTTCTTCCAAATTAGTTGTTCTCTAGATAGTGTTGGACCTTGTTTTGATGGCAAAAATATTGGTTGACATCCTACAAACGGTAGCAAATATGCTTTAAATTGATATGCATACCTAGTATGATTATGTCGTCTTTGAACATTGTTACAGGACTTCAAGGGATAGTGCAACAGGGCAGAGCAGCAAATCTTCTATTGGCAAACTCCCAAGCCCTCTTCTTCCACCACCTCCACCGTCGAGGCCAATTGGTAGAGAGGCAAGCACAGTCGACTATCTAAGTGGTGATGTTTTCAGATCAGAGCAACCATCAGATGCTCCTCTCAACTCACCTTTGCCACCATCATTGTCTCCACCTTCCCCACTCTTTTCTGATTCAGCTCCATCTTCGAAGTCCTCTGGGCTACCCAGGTATGATGAGCCTATTGAAGCAGAAAAATCTAGTGAAGTGCATCTTCCAACGATTCTTCGGGAATCCCCAGCTTCCGGTGTATTACCACCACCCCCATCAAAATATGGCCAAAGACAGCAGTTCCTTTATCAGGAGAAGCATGGTTTATCTGATGGGGAGTCGGTAGGACTTTATGATGGATTGACAGCTCAAAACCAGAACTTCTCTTTGAATCAAGGAAATGCTGGCTTGGGTCTGCAACATAATCAGCAACAAGTGGGTGGGACGGACTCATCACCATCAGCTCAACAAGCCAAACCTGAGGACATACTCTTTAAAGACTTGGTTGACTTTGCAAAGGCCAAATCATCTCCATCAACCAAGCCAACCAACAGTCATCAAACCCGCTAAATGGTGTCCTCAAGCAGGTTTTGTGCATTTCATGGTGTTTGGTCTCTTTATCAGGCTAAAGAGGCGACGGTCGCGAAATAAAGTGTGACATTTATGGTCCTGATTATTGTTCAAGTTGGTTATTCTGTGGTGTATATGATGAATAGAGTAGCATTGTTGCCAGACATATATCCTGTTTATGTATATCTTAGGCTATTTCTATGTAAAAAGAGATCATGCTTCTTTTATACATTGACTTCATGCTGTTGTGTTCATTGTTCCAATGAATTATTGTCTCATGAACTCCCTACACATTTGCTCCAGTTGTATAGGAGCTTTTGCAGTGCAATATGTTATCATTCTTAGAGCTCACTGAACTCCTCAGTGTGTATGAACAAATTTTACTTGTCCAACTAAAATGATTTGTTCTCATATAATTTGCTGCAGTCGAGTTCTGACTCATCAAAACTGTTTGGTTGAGGGTGGAGGAGAGTTTAACAGTGGAAATTTGTTTTTGCACACATATATAGTGTAAATTGCCTATGCAAAATTTATTTGATTGCATTGCTTGCTAATATTTTTTTCTTGATCTTCCCATGGAAGTAAAATATATATTTCAAAAGCAGTTTTTAAAAATATTCTTATTATATAAAACTATTCAGATGTTCCAATAAAATAATCTTGAACATCGTAAAAGGTCTTTTGATCCTCGGAGAGGGTTTGACTGCAAGAATGTATTGTCTTGCTGCTGTCAGTTTGACCTTTTGAGATCGTCTTGTCTCGTGTTCTGTGTCCAGTCCAAACATTCACACCAACATAACGCAACCCTTTTTTTCTTTCCTCAATCTTTTCCACTCTATTGAACGATTTTATGTCGCCTTCTTTTTTTCCAAACGACGACTTTTCAACATCCTTTTGGTCAAACCGAGGTCGACGAGAGGACGGTGGTTGACTTCTTCTAATGGAAACAGAACTTGACCGTCCCATAGAAAAATTAAAGGTCATTTGATTGTTTCTGAGAGAATTTATAGTGTTTCTTCATCCTTTCTTTTCCCGTTTGAGTTGTATTATCTTAAAACATATATATATATATATTCTAGTCAAACCCCAACCCTACCCACACGTCTTGCTTCCGGAAGCCGACACCTCGTGGTCGGATTCCATGGCTCATAGATCTGCGGGTCCCGCTGTAGCGTCGGTGGGGCCCACGCGATCCTTGGGGAAAGCGCTGATGAATTAGCCCCCAGGGAGCCGGCGCGAGGATGGCAGCGTTACGTGGCGCCCGCGTAGGCGTCGCCACGCCCTTCCGGTCTAGTTGCGCGTTCCAACTCTCAGAGACCGACTCCACCCGTCGTTCCACCGGGTCATGCCGCATGGGACCCACAAAATATTCTTCGTCGATCCTTCGTGGGGGTAGTCGTAAACACGCGTGAGACCGTAAGTATCGGAAAAGAAATCGCACGGAGGGGCGTCCGTGCGTATAACTTTGTGTCCTCCGTTCGCGCCCTCTGCGTCTCGTCCTCTCGCCCGCCTGTCTGTCACCCGCTTCACGATCATTACCGTTACTTTCCCTCCCCCGTCTCCGTTTCCGATTCCGATTCGGTTCCCGTTTCGGATTACGGGCCCCGATGCCCCGCCTGCGCCTTCGCCTCGTATAAACACGTTATCACGTAACTCAACCGTTACGAAGTGGACGTTACTTTGTATTTGGAGCCGAGAGCTCTCCGGGATGGAGACGAAGAGGCGGCCGGGAAACGATCGACCTGGGTTTAGGGTTTCGTGATCGACTGCGTTCGTCCATGTCTGGGTGCGATGGCGGGTGGCGGGGAAGCGATTGAGGCCTTCGGTTGCGGGAGATGGGATGCGGGAGCTCCAAGGCGGCGGAGGAGTCGAAGCCGGTCGAGCTGTGCCGGGAGCGGGTGGAGCTGATCCGTGCGGCGAGGGACCTACGATACGCCCTCGCGGCCGCCCACGCCGCCTACTTCCGCGCGCTCGCCGACGTTGGGGACGCGCTACACCGCTTGGTCTGGGAGGATCTGGCGCCGGCCTCCGCGCTGCCGGCATCACCCGTCCTCGTCCTTCCCTCCTCCGAGAGCAAGGGGAAGCCTGGTTCCGTCCGCGGAAGTGTCGTCGCTGCGGCTGCGTCGACTTCTTCTTCCGCGACTCCGCTCTCGCACTCCCTATCGCCGGAGGGCTCTCACTTGCCGCTTTCGTCCGGGTCGGAGGAGGTGAGCCCTCGGGCCGGAAGCGGGGAAGGAAGTGAAGCTGGAAAAAAGGACGGAAGCGGCAATGATGGTGCTGAAGGGGGGGAGTCATCTTCTCCGCGTCAGCGATTTAGGCCTCGGAGCCCTGATTCTTCTTTCATGAGGTCATCCACAGCGATCCCCACTGTGGTCTACCAGGATCCACTGACTCCACCTTGGTCGAATTCTGCGTACGATGGCTATGGGTATGAATTTGGCTATCCACCCTACGGTGTTCCGATACCATCTCTGCTGCAAGAAAGAGAGGATAGGATGGATCCTTCTGTGCCGGCGGTTGCCCCTGGTACTCCCCCTCCACCGCCACCTCCGGCAACGTCTTCTTGGGACTTTTTCGATCCGTTCAATTTCTATGAAGGATTCTTTCCTGATTACTCCGGAGGACGGTATGGTGTGCGCTTCTCTGTGAGCAGTCCTGATATAAACGAGGTGCGCAAGCAGGAAGGAATTCCCGACCTTGAAGAGGAAGCAGAGGCACAACCAACGGAGGCAAAGAAGCAGATGAAGGTGGTTATGGATGATTTAGGAAGGAAGAATCCTGTCGTTGGAAGCTCAAACACAGTTTCCACACCAGAAATTGGTCGAAAGGATGACAATGTTGGTGACATTGAGTTGGCAGACAAAGTGAGTGTGAGCAGTTCACCAAACAGTAAAGTGAGAAGCAGTGGAGAGGATGACATATCCATCAGGAAGAAAAAAGGGGTGACATTTGAGGATGTATCGTATGATACAGAGAAGAGTGTGCCTAGTGGTGATAAACCCTTGTCTGCACATATTGATGAACCACTGTCTTTTAAAGGTTCGAAGGATGTGATGGAAGTTGCTCGGGAAATTAAGAAACATTTTAGGTCAGCTGCTGGTTGTGGTGAAGAGGTGTCAAGGATGCTTGAGGTGGGCAAGTTGCCATACCAATCAAGAAGTAATAAAATGTATAGAGGTGGGTTTTTTATTTGGTTCAGTTATCTCTTGTTTGATTTGCTGTCCATGCCATCTACAAAAATCCTGCAAAATGAAGCTCAGAATGGAAGCCCTAGGATCAAATGGATAGCTATTTTAACATTTAAGTTACCTTGACCGAGGTTGTTCACTTCATAGTAGCAGGAGGGATCCATTTAAGGAAACAATCCTTCGTTTAGGAGGCTGAATTTGATTTTTTGTTTATAGCTGTTCTAATTTCTAATTGGTTCCTTGATTCTGGAGAGGAATCACTCTAGTGCCCCTTAGACTCAAATGTAACTGTAAAGAGGCTGCATAGCACATTTAGCAATTTTTCTTATATTATTGGCTCATCCAAATTTTCTTGTTCTATGCATTTATGACAGAATCATTTTGGTTCATCAAGGGATAAATATTTCTTAAAGAAAAGTCCATCTGTCTCTAGGTTTCACTTCATTGGATGCCTTTGTTGAGTCGAAAGAAATTATAAAATCATATGTCACTTGCCAAACTAGATCTAGCCATAAACCTCTTTTTGAACTGCAAACTCCTAGTTATACAGTCTGCTGTATAAACCTGTTAGCTTTTTGGTGAGAAATGCATCACTTTCATGCATTTGGTAATTGGCCTTTGATTTGTTTAAAATAGGTGACCGAGATCATCTCTTCAATATCTGCTGTGTTTTTGGTTCTTGGTGCTTTTATAATGCTTTTCTTTTCAAGATAGTTCTTTGTAGATGTTAAAAATATTTTTAGACCTCATGCTGTTATAAATTCTCTTTCCCATGTCACACATGACATTTTGAGGTACACATTATATTTACATTTTGAAATTTCTTCTACGATTCTTAACTCACTGTTTTCCTTATTGTGTATACATGCTTGTATTTTTTTCCTTCAATAGTTCTGTACTGTAATATTGCTACAAATTTAGTGCATGATCATTAAAATTCATCTTAGCGCTATTTTATAAGAATCTCATTTGAAGAGGCTAGTTAATCTAAAATAAATGCAATTTGTGAATCTTATGGATCTTGTTCCAGTAATATCTTCCAGGATTTTGGATCCTAAGACCCTGCATTTGCCATTATCATCATATCCTTCTTTCAATTGGTCACGGCATTCAACTGAGAGTACAACAATAAGCAGAAAAGCTAGCATGACAAGTGACCACTCTACTACAGGGTCTAGCAACATTTCATCAACATTGGAGAAGTTGTATCTATGGGAGAAGAAACTCTACAAAGATGTAAAGGTACAAATCTGTATACAAGAAACCACCTAAATACTGCTCTTCAATATGCAGTAGCAGTTGTTCACCATCATATGTTAGCCTATTTGATGTTAGTACTTATCATGTGAAACATGTTGATCTACAACAGGATAATCTTTTGCCAATTGCAATTTATTGCTATTGAAAAACGATTAGGTTGGCTTACTTAAATAATCCATTTTGTAAAAGACAAATGACAGTTGAGCAAAGGGTGGAAGTTATGAGGAATAACAATAAAGGGATACGATGAAATATCAGGTCTTGTAAATGATTGACTTATGAATCAAATGTTCTAATGATTCATCTCAAATACTTTAGAAACATATAAGTATTATGGTACATTTTGTCCAGTTATACAGAAGGTAAATGACATATCAGTAGTTTGAAAGTTGGAAGAAACAGTCATATTTAGTTTACAAATATAGAGAAGGTCACAAATCTTCTTTAGGCTTTCTCATCCAGAATCAGTCTTTCTTAACTTTTTACCTTGTGAACTTAAAGAAAATTAGCTAGATTACACATTTTATACCTGTGATTAGGTGGCTACATGACCCTGCTCAGGATTGGTTATACACTGCCTCATAGGATGATTGGGAGCTTGATGGAATAGTGCTTGACTTATTTATGGTCTAAATCAGTGTTCGAAAAATGGGTCAGACCAGTATGGACCACCTAGGATTTGCTGGTCCATCCAACCAGGAACTGGCACTCAGACTCAGCAATGTTGTCCGGTTCATTCAAAACTGATTATGTATGTATGTATGGATGTGTATCTATATATACATACATACATATATGTATATACATATGTATACATATATATACATATGCATACATATATATACATATATATGTATATATGTATACATATATACATATATGTATACATATATATGTATATATATGTATGCATATATATATATATATATATGTATACATATGTATACACACACACACACACACACACACACACACACACACACACACACACACACACACTACA